GGCCCCGAGGTGGAGGCGCTGCTGCGGCAATATCCTTCCTGCCGGCCAGCCGGCGGGCGGGTGGGGGGCCGGGCCCTCTCCTCTCCTCTCCTCTCCTCCAGTGCCGCGCTTGGCTGGCGAGCAGGCGCCGGCCGCATCCTCCCAGGGGAAAGGGGCGACCGGGGACCCGGCCTCGAAACGCAGATTCGTTTCTGGTCGACCTAAAAGCTTGGCCCCCTTGCTGGGCAGGGCCGCCGCCTCCTCTCGCTGCGCCCAGCCCCGGGCAGGCGGAGACGGGGTGGAAAAGCGCAGGGGCGCAGGTGTAGTTTGCGCTGTAATCGGTCGGGGGGGGGATCCCGCGACGTCCGAAAGGGGCTGAGAAGCCGCGGCGGGGCCCAGGTCTGTGTCGTGGCGCGGACGGGGCTGTTTGTTGCTGCTGGATCTTGCGGCCCGTTCCGAACCTCTGCCCCGGTTGTCTCTCCTGCCTGCGGCCGGTGATCTTGCAAGGTCACCTCCAGCCCCCGACGCCTGCGAATTGAGGCAGCGTCCGACCCTCGGTTTTTATAGCGGCTGGAAACGCGCGTGGTTCGTGATTTAGACACGGCTGCCGGCGGCCCCGGTACACCACCCAGAATTAATTCGGTCACAAAACCAGGGGTTGCGAGCGGCGGCGGACAGCGAGCCTTGTATAGGACAAGCCCGTTCCGTCGCCTCGCCCCGTTTCTGAAACTGTCTCTCAAGTAGGAGGGCGTGTGTTGAAATAAGCGACTTGTGCCAAACTGATGTCAAGGTGCTTAAAATAACTCTGCGCTGGGACCTAACCCAGATTGCTCGCACGAAGCAGCGTGCTCAGCAGAGGAAAGCGAAGCGGCTCCTCCGCTGCGCGCTCTGGAACGAAGCCTCGTGTCCGCGCAGGGAGAGAGAGCAGGACCCTAACGACCGGGGAGGGCCTGCGGGAGAGAGAGCGCCTGTAGCCTGTCTGCGTCTCGGGTTCATTTTGGGGTTTGCAGATCTCCTTTTTTAAGCACAGATTGATTGGGGGGAGAGGGGGGTGTGGAGGAGTGTTCGGTGGCTCAAGAGGCTGATAACTTCCACCCGCAAAAAAGCATGTCTGGCTTAGAGATGCTATTTATGTGCCTCGCTGACGTCACTGTTTGGCCTCTTCACTGCAGCTGTGAAAAGGGACTAGTGATGGGGTCTGTGCGTTGTGGGATTGCCCGAAGGGCTGGATCAAGACCCACCAAACAGCCCTCGGATGTGGGTTACTCTTGGTGTCTGCTGGATTCAAATCAGCGATAGCAAGGTGAAAAGCACTGGATCTTATTGTCAGTGTTTGGAGCCATCTAGTTCTTAAATAAGATCCCTTCGGTGTAAAATGCTTGGAGTTACTTCAAATGCTCTGATTAGTAGCGAAACGTGTAACATGACCTGATCCTTTTTCCTGATCAGAATTCAGCGGACGCTGTCACTCAGGCCTTTCTTCCTTGCCAAGTCAGTTCATTCAAGAAGTAATCCTGGCTGAGAGAGTGTCTGGAGGAACACGTCCCTGACTATTACATGGCAGGCTTGGTTGGTTTGTTTTGTGTGCATGGTTTTAGGTTTGATAGATTGGGAATAGTTTGGTACTCAGGGATGGGCTATAAATAGTTTAATCATCACCCTTCTGTGGCCTTGTATTTTAAGCAGAGGGGAAAGAAAAATAGCTAATCCTTCGGGTCTTCCTGTTAGAGTTGTCAGCAATGCAGACTACTTCTGGCCATCCTCTGTTCTCATTATTTGGCATTCTTGGAAGTGAGCAAATCAATTTAAAAAATCCATGTTCCTACCTCCTCTTCCTCCAAGTATGCTGCTGTGTCGCAGTTCCACAGCCTAGTTTATGGGTACTTGAGACCAAGGGCTTTCTGCTGTCAGGGCTATACATTTTGTAGCGAGTGACAAGGTTTCTGTTTTTGTAACAGTGAAGCCTTGTCAGCTTAACTGACAAAGGATGTTCTGTCAACCTGAACTGCTTTAAAAATTACAAATGAAGAGGAAGTTGACCTTGAAGCAAAATGAATGCTTGCTTGTAATTCACGGTCTGCTGAAGGGCTCTCGCAGTCTTACTTTTGCTACGTGGTTTTGTGGCTTAGATTCATAGAAAAATAGGGCTGGAAGGGACCTCAGGAAGTTGTCCGGTCTAACGTCCTGTTCAAAGCACACTCATTTCTGCCTAAACCATCACAGCCAAGTATCTGTCTAACCTGCACTTAAAACGTCCAGAGATGGAGATCCCACCCCTGCTCCAGGTAGCCTGTTCCAGTGCGTCACCACCCGCAGTGAGAGACTGCCAGTATCCAACCTACACTTCCCTTGCTGCAGTTGAGACCAGTGCTCCTTGGCCTGTCCCCTGGAAAAGTCTGTTTGTGGCGGTGATTCCTTTAGAACCTGATTAGCTTTGTAACGGCGTGTGTCACTGCCCAGTAAGCGTAGCAGCTGTTTTGTCCACCTGGCACGTCCTACTACAGTTTGTGGCACAAGAAAGTTGCACATTTTCGTTTGCAGAGATCAGGATACCAAGTGTTCCTTCCCTTGGGGGATAGTGACAGAAATGCATGCTGTCGTCTTCAGCTCTGTTCCTGTAATTGAATACTTTATTCTGTTCATCTTTGCTTTAGGAGATGTACTTAATCACATCTCCTATGAGGTAGGCCACATTTCTTGTGCTGTGTGTTATCTGAATACTTGCAGATAACTTTTTTGTTTTTTAGTTTCTCCAGCTGCCCAATGGCACACCTGCCACAGCAGAGACTTGTTAATTCTCAGTGTCTGTCCAAGGTACTTCCATCTCTCCAGGAGATAAGGAGTTGAACTGCCTGACACATCCAAACATATATTGTACATCTATTTTATTATGTACCTACTATTTCCCCTTCAGGGCATTTGGATATCTGCCTTTACTATGGATTTCAAGTTTATATGTCCATGTGTCAGGGTGGAAATAACATCTGAGCTAAAGATTTGTAGTGAAGTCTGAGATTTTAGTTATAGATTTTTAATTTTTTTTATGAACAAATTCCTTTAAGCTCAGAAATGGAACTATCACCTTGACAATGATCTTTCCTTCTGGATATGTTATGCTCATGCTTAACTCTGGACATATCTTTTAACATTTTTTTCTTCTGACCTTGAAAGCCTAAATCCACTTACTTTGCAAATTCTGGCTGTAGGAGGTGTGGCCCTGATGCTGGATGTCTGTCTTACTCACAGAAAGAATTGGGAAATCTTTCTGGATTGTGTGTGTTCAGGTTACAAGGTCCCTGAAGAACTCCCTTTGGCTGTTTTAGGATTTTGGTGTCTGTAGAATATTCATTCTGCTCCTCATTAAGTAATGCAGTGTTTGCAACAAGTCACGGTAGCCCAAAGGTCAGGGTGACATTTAGCCATTATGGTGTAAATCCTGAATGACTGGAAAAAGTAAAGGAGGGTCTGCTGACCTTGACCTGAGTTTCCTGGTGGTTGTCACTTCCTTTCCTCGTGATGCACTTGCTGGCATTTTCCTTTTGCACCATCTTTGGAAATCAGCTCTGCTCTGTTATTCCAGAATATGCTATGAAGACATTTGGAGTACTCAGAAGCCTATATTCCTGGTTGTAACTACATTAAAATGAGGGTTAGGATTGTCTTAGCAAAGGGAATGGTTGCTGCAGTTTGTCCTTTCTTCCTGTTTAGTTGCTCTTAGGAGATGGTGATGTGTTGCAAAATCCAGTGCCACGGGTTCTGGACTGTCCCTTCTAGAATCATTAATAATTAAAGAATAACTAAACGACGTGCATCCTTGACTTGCTGTGCTGCACAGGCGATATGCTCCGAGCTTTCCACATGGCCTTAAGGAATTCTCCGGTTAACACGAAGAATCAAGCAGTAAAGGTAAATGAGGCCTTTGGGCTTTTCCATCCTCTTTCAGTGTTGGCATATGGGTCCCTAGCGATTCGGCAGTGGATTGCTGGGATACTTCAGAACAGTGGCTGCTTTCTCAAAATACGAGTAGCTGGTCATCAGTACCCTAGTGCGGAACTGTTTGTGAACTAATGAACATATGCTCTGATTCCCAATTAGTAACACTTCTCATGCCATATCTGCACCTTTCCTGTGCAACCTTAAAGACAAAAATAATTTTGAGAAGCTTTCCAAGACAATTAGGGCTTCTCCGACAATGTGCACGCAGCGGTATGATGGCAGGTTCATACACAGTCAGAGTCTGTGTGCCACAGTACATTTGACGTCCCACTGGCTCCAGTTCCATGGGTTGGGGGGGGGGGTAAGAACCAACATGCAGAGACAAATGGCAGGTGAGTCAAAGGGCAGCAGTCCCACGACATGCCAAACTCCTGACACTCAAAAGAGGTAAGGGCTGGCGGGATGTGCCTGAAACCACATCTGTGTGGATTTTGTAATGTGCTGTATCAAATATATTTGACCTTAATTGTGGGGAGCTTGCTGCTACAAGCCTGAATCCACTGACCCAGAAAATCCCCTTCACACTTTCTCACAAGGCATGACCGGTGACCTTTGTCACGACTTGTATTTAAAAAAATTGGTTCCAAATGCTCTTCAATGGTGATATTTAAATTAAAACGCTTGAGCCTCCTGGTTCACGATGAACTGAAATAACCTCTTAATCAAGCTGTTAGTTGCACTGAATGCTGGTTATTGGGTACATTTTGGATACAGATAAGACTTGTCTGTTCTGCTGTTTGGGGCAGTTGGATCTGACATGATTCTCTCTTTCTTGTCTTTGCAGGAACGGGCCCAGGGCGTAGTCTTCAAGGTTCTCACTTCCTTCAAAAGCAGTGAGATAGAACAGGCAGTAAACTCCTTAGACAAAAATGGCATTGACTTATTAATGAAGTACATTTATAAAGGATTTGAAAAGCCAACAGAAAACAGCAGTGCAATATTACTTCAATGGCATGAAAAGGTATGTCTCTCTTCTGGTGCTGCTAAAGCTTGAAGGCGCAGTCACATGAGATCAGAGGTGAAAATCTGAGTGAATGCTTTACCTAATGGTGTGTCTTCAGCACCACAGCATGACTAGCTGTGTTCAGTGGAGTATTTCAGCTAGAGCCCCTGGCCATAAGAGAGGAGTCTGGGAGAGCTTTTCCCCTGGGGTCTGCTACAGCATTGGCTCCATGAACCTTTTTAACATGCTTCTCAGCCCATCTTTTCTTGCAGCCATTTAGGGAGGTTTGGATCTCCAGAGTGGAGAGGCTGGCAATTGAAGGAGGCATAAGACAGAAATTTTAAGTGTAGTTGAATGGCTTTTTCTTCCTTCCTTTTGAGGGAAAGTGTTTGACTTTTTTTTCTGATTAGGCGCATCGGTAATGTGAGCTGTTTGGACCTTAGGTAGATGCTTGAGAAATAAGTATGCATTAACTATATTTCCTTAGGCTGTTATGGCACCTAGTAGCCATGCCATTAAGCACAGGGACTGAGCAGTGCTTGCTGTAATTTGAGAGATGCTTCTCAGATAAAGAGTGTCTAATTGGAGCCACATACTACCCTAGAACTTGTGTGGAAGGGCTGTTCTTATCCGTGTGCTATCCCTAGGTAGGTCTCTGCAATGGCTGTTCTAGGATTCTTTAAGGATGCAGTATTGGTCTTGGTGCCAAACCTGAATATTCCCCATCCCTCTATCCCTGGGTGAGGTGTGTTGGAGCATGTAATAACTGTTCTGTATCATGCCCCCCTCTCCAGGAAAAGCGCTACACAGGAGCGTTCCCTAGTTTTGAAGGTACAAATGCAAAACTGTCTAAAAATGTAGCTCTTTTTGGCAGAAACAATATCCCTTTAAATTAGGCAGTTCACTATACCACTCTGCACTGCAGCAGCCCAAAGGAGGCATTCAGTTGTTGATGGCTCTTACATTTTGGGAGGGATATGTAAACTTGCTGATGCAAACAGAGCAATGATGCTTATTAACAGTGATTACACTTAAGAGCTGAGCAGTTTCCACTTGCTCTGCAGAATGTCATTTCAACATGTGGAGGGTGGGAGGAGGAGACATTATGTTCTGAGGGCAGAAAGGAACGTGTTTCTGCTTGCTTCTGTTTCCAATGGAAACTGCAGGCTGGTGCCCCATGGCGTATGAAATTACACAGCGCACTACCCCGTCTGAGAAGATGTGTCACCACTCGGAGCACGCAGGCACACACAAACATGGCCTGGATGCCCCTCACCAGACTTTGAAAAGAACAAAGCAGTTCTGAAGTAGACTTTGCACAGCTGCCATGTGCAGCTGTGTGTATCCTGCCCAATGGCATAACAACTGGTATGAAGCGTGTAACCTCTTTAGGGTGAGGATTTTGCTGTTTGGTTATGAGATGGTATTACATCTGAGATCAAGTGCTCCTTTTGGGGAGCAGGGTCAGAGCCAGTAACTCCGTAGAAGTAGGGACAAGGCTCACAAGATAGGAATGCTTACAGCCTGTGCCCCACCCCGACTTTGCAGTGCACTTCCTTAAGCTGCAAAAAGTCTAATGCTGTCACTGCTGCTCCAGTTCCATGAGTTGTAATATCTCACAGGTTCTGTTTGCTTTTTGTCTGGTAGGTAAGCACATTTTAATGAGTTTGAGATGGTCTTAAAATTGTGTGTGTTAATAGTTCATCAATAACTTTTTCCTTTGCCATAAGTATATTCACTTTTTAGAGCTCAACAAGCATGACATTCCCTGTCTGTACAGCAGGATACAGAAATCAAACTGAAGAGAACCTTGTTTTGTTAGTCTCTTACTCTTTCTTGAAACTTAAATGGCCTGCAGGATGGCGTTGTGATCGGTGCCATCTGCTTACGTGTCCTTGGGCTCTTGCATGTGGTTGAAAATAGTTTGTAACTGAAGAGCATTGGATTGTCGTGACTAACAGCATGCCTGAGGACAGAGGTCACTATTATGCCCATTTGACAGATGATGAACTCAGTGAATCCAGCTCAAGGTCCAACCTAGCCTCCTTAATGGCAAGGCTGTCCTCCTTCAGTGCTGTAAGCAGCACTACTGGAGTATGAACAGATGACTTCTGTTACCACAAGTAACTCTTCCCAAGGGTCAGAGCTGCAGGATGAACCTGCACAGACTAGGGAGAGGGCAAGAGAAGGAGTAGGTGCTGGTGACATTAATTTCTGACTTCTCCTGTTGACAGCAGCTGTAAGGAATGGCTTTGTGGTCTGCTTAAAATAGTGTGGGTTAAACCCTGCAGCTATATTTCTGTTGTGCTGCTTGATGGAGTCTTTCAGTGATTATCACAGTTGAACAATTGTTGCTGACTGAAAGCACAACCACTACTTGAGCTGACAGCATATGTAAAACTTGTCAATAGGTTTCCTTGGTAACGCTGGTGCACTCCAATATAATAGGATATTTCTTTATCAGGATCTGAGATTACAAGGAGAGAAGCGGGGTTGCTTCCTTACTTCTTGCATTTACAGAAGCACTAAAATCTATTTAAGCTGGTAACATGCTTTTAACTTGCATGTCGGAGAAAAAAGATCAGGGTTTTCTTTAATGAACCATTTTAGAAGTTTAAGACGAGCGCTTCCTTCTTGTGTTCCTACGTAACGTCAGAGAAGGTCTGAAAATTTCAGAAGCTGTAGGCAACAAAAGGAGAGGTGATCTCGGTGCTCGAGTGGTACTAAGTATAGAAAGAGGGCTAACTAACATCTGCTCTTGCTGTTACGATGCCTTATGTGTATATGCTGTAGTGATCACGTGTATAATATGTCTCCTTTTTCCACCCTCACAGGCATTAGCAGTAGGTGGACTAGGTTCCATAGTAAGAGTTCTTACAGCAAGAAAGACTGTTTAAAAGACTATTAACTTGAACCGAGATGACGCTCAGTTTTGGACGCAGAAGAAAGAACTAACTGACACAACACTGGTCCATCTTTTCTAGAAATTGCAATCTACTGACATACTTTGGAAACCTCCTGTTGGAATGCTCTTAATTTTAAAGGTGGGGAGAGGAGTAAATGTATTACTGTATATTTTCTGACTATCTAATGCAGGAGCCAAGACATCCTGATTCCCTTCTTGTTTAAGTAGAGCAGAAGGTACAACTTCTGCCCTCCTGTTACTGTAAGTGAAGAGGTAATTCTCTGATGCTGCTCTATCGAAGTGTGGTGACATGAGATCCTGTGTGTATTGCATATTTAAGAGGTAGCTATGTCATTGGCAGAAGCAAGAATCTGATGGTTTTGGGGTGAAGTAAATGTTCCTTTGAAAGGCTTTTTGAGGTTTTTTGTACATATGGTCAAAAGACTAGCTGGACTACTAGACTGACTTCATTGTAAAGTGCCTGCTGCATCAATAAAGTTTTTGGATTGTAAGAGTAAATCATTTTTGTTCTGGTTTTTTTTTTTAATCTAATTCATATAAATGCTATTGGCTCAAAGGTAACATAGCAGATTATTCTCGGCCTGTGATCTCACTTGTGTACAACGCTAGTTTTTAAAAGTTTAATTTTAAAATTAAAAATACTCTCTTAAACGAGCACCTAATTGTAACGACAATAATAGCAAGATAAAGCTCACTTCTGTTTTGCATGGATTTTTTTCTAATTTGATTTTGTACTTCCATCTGTGCCAGGTAAGGAAGGAAATACTTCGAAGTGCAGGCCCCAGATATTGCTATTAGAGAAAAGTTGTTCATGATGTCATAGAAAATGAGGGTTGGAAGGGATGTCAGGAGGTCATCAAGTCCAGCCCCCTGCACAAAGCAGAACCAGACCCAACTCGATCATCCCAGCCAGGTCTTGAAAACCTCCAAGGATGGTGATTCCATTTGAAAAAACTTAAAGCGTAGATTGCCAGCTCATTATCTGATACTTTCATGTTATTAAATGTCCTTGTAGAGGATTTTTTAAGTAATACCCCATTAATATGTTGATACAGATCTGTATATCACATTTCCATCTCTGTACAATATGGAAGATTGTGATTTAATGTAACTGGATCTGAAAAGGTGCAACAGCTTCTTTCCCCCTTCTACACTGCTACCACTCTGTTTAAGTTTTGGCTCCTGCAATCTCTATCTGGTCACTGTGCAGAAGCCTGGGTTCCTGTTCTTCCTGGAGGATTATTTTGTGTGCAAAATGTGGCATACAGCAAAACTCAGGTAGTCTCTCTCACAAGTGAGCCCTTAGAGAAACTAATGAGCTCTCCCTATTCATATCAACTAAAATGGCTTGGTCAGCTTGAAGAAAACTGCTTCTTTAAGTGCTTTTTTGTATTGGGCAAACTGTCCTGGAATGGAAGGGATGCTGCAAGGTCAACTGAAGGCATCTCTGCTTGGAACTCAGCATGAACTCCCATGGTCTCTCCTTGCAGCTGTTGCTAAGTTTAATTAGCCACTTCCTACTGGATGCCAAATCCTGCTGAGAACGGCTGTGGCATAAAGACTTGCCAGTATACCCATTCTTAAGAGACTATTTCTTATTTGTATTGATTTTCAGAAGTAAAGTAGAGGCTTAAATCCTTTGTTATAGTTGGACAATTGACATAGGAACAGTGTGGAAGTAACTGAAACTTGAAGAGAAAGAAATCCAGAGTTTTAATCAAAAGTATATTGCACCACAAAGTCTCTGCAATTATTTCAGTGTTCCATAATACAATCCATATTTACAACATGAAAGAAGAAGTTAAGATCCAATGGCAAAATGTTCATAGAAAGGAATATATCACAGCTTTTATACAAAGAAAAGTGCATTAACTCTTGAAT